TTGTGCTGTTAACGGTAGCAATGATGCGCTAACTCCGCGGTACTATTGCTGTAACAGTGATTGCGCTGCGCTGTGCTTTGCTGTTACAGTATTGGCTTAGCTCTGTTAACAATAACTTACTTGTGTTACGCTTATCTTGTGCTGTGCGCAGTAATGCTGTATTGCTGTGCATTACTTGCTTGTGCTGTGCTCGTAGCTGTGATTGCATATACCGCAGTGCTGTAACGTGCTGTGATTGCGCTGTCGCCATAACAGTGCTGTGTATGCTGTGCTGTGCTGTGCCGGCTGTGCTAATGCTGTGCTGTGCACTGTATGTGCTGTGTTGTGCCTCTTGTACATGCTCGTGCTGTCTGTGCTGTGCTGTGCTGTGTTGCTGCTCTGTGCACTGTGCTGGTATGCTGTGCTGTTATGTACTGTGCTCTGTTGCTAGCCCTTGTGCTTGATAGCTGTTATTGATATGCTGTGCTGTGTTACCTGCTCTGTGCTATGCTGTGCTGTGATTGCACTGTCTGTGCTGTGTGCTGTGTGCAGTAACGTGTGTGCATACCCATGCTATGCTGTGTGCACTGCTCTGTGCTATGCTGTGCTGTGTGCATTGCTCTGTGCTATGCTGTGCTGTGCTCCTGTGCTATGCTGTGTGTTACTGCTCTGTGCTGTGCTGTATTACACTGCTCTGTGCTGTGCTGTACTGTGCTGTTGTGCTATGCTGTGCTGTGTTGCACTGCTCTGTGCTATGCTGTGCTGTGTTACACTGCTCTGTGCTGTGTACACTGCTCTGTGCTATGCTGTGCTGTGCTACACTGCTCTGTACTATGCTGTATGTTACGCTTATCTTATTGGACGTGATTACGTGTCTTTGTTAGCTGTTAGCGCAATCTTGTGCTATGCTGTGCTGAATTAACGTGATGCGCGCTTATCTGTGCTAATGCTGTTGCGCAATGCGCGCTGTCTGTTAACGGCGCTGTTATGCTGTGCTGTGCGCAATGTTACTGTCTGTGCTATGCTGTGCTGTTCATATCGCCAGTAGCACTGCTGTGCTGTGATTACGCGCTCTGTGCTATGCTGTGCTGTGTGCATATCTGTGCTATTGCTGTGCCTTGCTGCTCTTGCTATGCTGTGCTGGTGCTATGCTGTGCTGTGCTGTGTACGCCTGCTCTGTGCTGTGCTGTTACGCTGCTCTGTGCTGTGCTGTGCGCTGTGTGCACTGCTCTGTGCTGTGTGCACCGTGCGCGCTTATGTGCTGTGCTGTATTACGCTCTGTGCTATACCAGTAGCACTGAATTACGCTGCTCCTGGCTATGCTGTTGCTGTGATTGCTGCTCTGTGCTATGCTTGTGCTGTGTTACACTGGCTCCTGTGCTGTGCTGTATGCTGTGCTGTGCTGTGTTCTGCTGTCTGTGCTATGCTGTGTGTGTACACTCTGTGCTGTGCTGTTATGCAGTGCTGTGCTGTGTGCACTGCTCTGTGCTATCTTGCTTATGCACTGCTCTGTGTTGCTGTGCTGTGCTGTGTTACTGCTGCTCTGTGCTATGTGCTGTGTGCACTGTGCTGTATGCTGTGCTGTGCTGTTACACTATCTGTGCTATGCTGTGCTGTGTGCACTGCTCTGTGCTATGCTGTGCTGTGTTACACTATCTGTACTATGCTGTGCTGTGTACACTGCTCTGTGCTGTGCTGTATTCCTGCTCTGTGCTATACTGTGCTGTGCACTGCTCTGTGCTGTGATACACTGCTCTGTACTTTGTCTTTGTGCTGTCGATGCACTGCTCTGTGCTGTGCTGTGTCTGTGCTGTGTGCACTGCTCTGTGCTGCTCTGTGCTGTGTGCACTGCTCTGTGCTATGCTGTGTGATAACCTGCTCTGTGCTATGCTGTGCTGTGTACACTGCTCTGTTTATGCTGTGCTGTGATACTGCTGCTCTGTGCATGCTGTATGCTGTGCTGTGCTGCTCTGTACTTTATGCTGTGCTGTGATTACCTGCTCTGTGCTATGTGCTGTGTTACACTGCTCTGTGCTGTACTGTATGCTGTGCTGTGCTTTCTGTGCTGTGCTGTGTGCTCTGTGCTGTGCTGTGCTGTGCACTGCTCTGTGCTATGCTGTGCTGTACACTGCTCTGTGCTATGCTGCTGTTACACTGCTCTGTGCTGCTGTGCTGTGTGCACCTGCTCTGTGTGCTGTGTAGCTGTGTGCTGTGCTGCCAGCTGTGCTTACGCTGGCTGCTGTACTATGCTGTTAACGCTGTGCGCTAATATGCTATATGTAACAATGGCACTGTCTGTGCTGTGCTTGTATGCTGTGCATGTAGCATGCTGTCGCGGTACGTCTGTGCTTTGCCAGTGCCATATGTTGCTGTCGGCGTTACTTGCTCGCGTGCTGGCATGTTAAGCAATACTGTGCTGTGACGGTGTGCACTGCTCTTGTGCTGTGCTGTATGCTGTGCTGTGCTGTATTACTGCTATCTGTGCTATGCTGTGCTTGTGTTACGCTGTATGTGCTGTGCTTACTGCTGCTCTGTGCTGTGCTGTGTCTGTGCTGTGCTGTGTTACCTTATGCAACTCTGTATGCTGTGCTGTGTGCACTATGCTGTGCTGTGCTGTATGCTGTGCTGTGCTGTGCTACACTGCTCTGTGCTTTATGCTGTGCTGTGTGCACTTGCTCTGTACTATGTGTGCTTGTGGCACTAACTGGCCAGTAGCACGGTGCTGGTATGCTGTACTGTGCGCTTGATTGCTGAATATGTGCTGTGTAACAGTATTGCGCTGTTCTTGTGCTGTGCTGTTAGCAGTACGTTGCTCTAGTACTCTGTGCTTTATTAACGTGCTGTGTGCTTATGGCTGTGCTGTGCTGTGTGCTGCTCTATTCTGTTGCTGTGCTGTTGCTGTGTTCTGCGCTCTGTGCTATGCTGTGCTGTGTTACCTATACTTTACTGTGCTATTGCTGTAGCACTTGCTCTTGTGCTATGCTGTGCTGTGTATAACTCTGTGCTGTGTGTGCTATACTGCTCTGTGCTGTGCTGTGTTACACTGCTCTGTGCTGTGTGTGTTCACTGCTCTGTACTGTAATGTGCTGTACTGTACTGTGATGTACTGTACTGTGCTGTACTGTACTGTGCTATACTGTGCTGTAATGTACTTTACTGTAATGTACTATACTGTGCTGTATTGTACTGTGCTATACTGTATTGTACTGTGCTATATTGTACTGTACTGTGCTATGCTGTACTGTAGTGTACTGTACTGTGCTATACTGTACTGTGCTCTACTGTACTGTGCTTTACTGTACTGTGCTATACTGTACTGTGCTGTACTGTACTGTGCTGTATTGTACTGTACTATACTGTACTGTACTGTATGTACTGTGCTGTGCTATGCTGTACTGTACTGTGCTATACTGTACTGTACTGTACTGTGCTCTACTGTACTGTGCGGTAGTGTACTGTACTGTGCTGTACTGTGCTATACTGTACTGGTACTATACTGTACTTTTGATGTGCTGCTGTACTGTGCTGTACCGCACTCTATCAGTGCTGTGCTATTCTGTACTGTGCTGTGCTATACTCTATACTGTGCACTGTACTGTGCTATGTACCGTGCTGTACTGTCCTATACTGTACTGTACTGTACTGTGCTGTACTGTACTGTACTGTGCTGTACTCTACTGTGTAGTGTGCTGTACTGTGCTGTACTCTACTGTACTGCACTGTACTATACTGTGCTATACTGTACTGTGCTGTACTGTACTGTGCTATACTTTACTCTACTGTACTATACTGTGCTATACTGTACTTTGCTGTGCTGTACTGTTGAGTACTGTACTGTACTGTGATGTACTGTACTACACTGCACTGTACTGTGCTGTACTGTGCTATACTGTACTATGCTGTACTGTACTGTGCTCTACTGTACTGTGCTCTACTGTACTGTGCTCTACTGTACTGTGCTATACTGTACTGTGCTGTACTCTACTGTGCTGTACAATACTGTGCTCTACTGTACTGTGCTATACTGTACTATACTGTACTATACTGTGCTGTGCTGTACTGTGCTGTGCTGTGCTGTACTATACTGTGCTATACTGTACTGTGCTATACTGTACCTTACTGTACTTTGCTGTGCTGTACTGTGGAGTACTGTACTGTGATGTACTGTACTGCACTGTACTGTGCTGTACTGTACTGTGCTATACTGTGCTGTACTGTGCTCTACTGTACTGTGCTCTACTGTACTGTGCTATACTGTACTGTGCTTTACTGTACTGTACTGTACAGTACTGTGCTGTACTGTGCTGTACTGTACTGTATTGTACTGTACTGTGCTATTCTGTACTGTGCTGTACTGTACTATACTGTACTGTACTGTGCTATCCTGTACTGTACTGTGCTATACTCTGCTGTACTCTATTGTACTGTACTTTGCTGTGCTGTATGCTGTACTGTGCTGTACTGTATTGTACTGTGCTGTACAGTGCTGTATTGTGCTGTTCTGTACTGTGTTGTACTGTACTGTGCTGTACTGTATTGTACTCTGCTGTACAGTGCTGTACTGTTCTGTACTGTGCTGTACTGTACTGCACTGTGCTGTGCTGTGCTGTGCTGTACTGTACTGTACTACTCTGTACTGTGCTGTGCTGTACTGTGATGTACTGTACTGCACTGTACTGTACTGTGATGTACTGTGCTGCAATGTACTGTAAAGTACTGTACTGTACGATACTTTGTTGTACTGCTCTCTTTTATACTGTACTGCACTGTACTGTACTGTGCTGTACTGTACATTACTGTTTCGCACTGTATTGCACTGTACTGTACTCTATTGCACTGTACTGTGATGTACTGTACTGCACTGTACTGTGATGTACTGTACTGCAATGTACTGTAAAGTACTGTACTGTACGATACTGTGTTGTACTGCACTGTACTGTACTGTACACTACTGTACTGTACATTACTGTACCGCACTGTATTGCACTGTACTGTACTCTATTGCACTGTACTGTTATGTACTGCACTGCACAGTCCTGTATGCTGAAGAACATCTTTTTTCAGGTTAAGATGGAGGAAGTATTGGTAAAAGAAGAGCCAGCCGGCTGGTTTCCTGACACAGAGGAAGGCCTTGAAAACTTACAGTACACCGAGGCGGACACCAGCCTCGGGTACGGTGGCCAGCAGGCGACCTACCAGGGTGGTTGTCTGCCCTGGGAGCTGGCCGCCGTTGCCTCCCAGGCTCACACCCTCGACGCTCACCTGCCGCAGGGCATCCCGGGACCCTCAAGAATACAAGGGGTGAGTTTTTAACACGAGAACTTTTATTGTGGTGAAGCTTCCTCAATAATTTCATACAAAACACTATAAGAGTTTAACCAGAGATCACTTGTTTGGCTCTACACGACTCTCATTCACACTGATCACCTGCCCAGTCATCCGGTACTGTATTTTTTTACTTTTCCCTGCTGCTACCGCTCTGACTTACAGTGGTCACAGTCAGCACCAACACCCTTATGGTCATTAACTGCATAATTTAACATGCTGTACACTGTAATAATTCATCACTCAAGAGGCAGTAAGCTCACAGGTCCGTTACAAGTGGTTTAGTCGTGAGAGATGGTGACCAGAGGCCTTGGTTAGACCTGACGTTTACCGCAAATTAAACTAGAGTGTATGTGAGTCATCATATAGTGTAATGGGTTGTGAGTCATCATATAGTGTAATGGGTTGTGAGTCATCATATAGTGTAATGGTTTGTGAGTCTTTATATAGTTTAATGGGTTGTGAGTCATATAGTGTAATGGATTGTGAGTCTTTATATAGTGTAATGGGTTGTGAGTCATCATATAAAGTAATGGGTTGTGAGTCATCATATAGTGTAATGGGTTGTGAGTCATCATATTGTGTAATGGGTTGTGAGTCATCATATAGTGTAATGAGTCATGAATCTTTATATAGTGTAATGGGTTGTGAGTCTTTATATAGTGTAATGGGTTGTGAGTCATCATATTGTGTAATGGGTCGTGAGTCTTTATATAGTGTAATGGGTTGTGAGTCATCATAGTGTAATGGGTTGAGTCTTTATATAGTGTAATGGGTTGTGAGTCATCATATTGTGTAATGGGTCGTGAGTCTTTATATAGTGTAATGGGTTGAGTCTTTATATAGTGTAATGGATTGAGTCTTTATATAGTGTAATGGGTTGTGAGTCTTTATATAATGTAATGGGTGGTGAGTCATCATATAGTGTATTGGGTTGTGAGTCATCATATAGTGAAATGGGTTGTGAGTCATCATATAGTGTTATGGGTTGTGAGTCTTTATATAGTGTAATGGGTTGTGAGTCTTCATATAGTGTAATGGGTTGAGTCTTTATATAGTGTAATGGTTTGTGAGTCTTTATATAGTGTAATGGGTTGTGAGTCTTTATATATTGTAATGGGTTGTGAGTCTTCATATAGTGTAATGGGTTGAATCTTTATATAGTGTAATGGGTTGTGAGACTTTATATAGTGTAATGGGTTGAGTTATCATATAGTGTAATGGGTTGTGAGGCTTTATATAGTGTAATGGTCGTGAGTCTTTTTATAGTGTAATGGGTTGAGTTATCATATAGTGTAATGGGTTGTGAGTCATCATATAGTGAAATGGGTCATGACTCTTCACATATAGTGTAATGGGTCATGACTCTTCACATATAGTGTAATGGGTCGTGAGTCTTTATATAGATTAATGGGTCGTGAGTCATCATATAGTGTAATGGGTCATGAGTGTTCATATAGTGTAATGGGTTGTGAGTCTTTATATAGTGTAATGGGTCGTGAATCTTTATATAGTGTAATGGGTTGTGAGTCATCATATAGTAATAATAATAATAATAATTAACGGTTTATTGAAAAAATTCTGCATCCTGAAGGCTGAAAATATACATTGGACATAAATGACTTATTACATACATTGGTGGTTTAACAAAAGCCTTCATTAGAGAAAGGTAAAGGAACATACAGTGAACATACAGATTAATGTAGGTGTTGAACAGCAAACTCGTAGTGTAGTAACTCCCTCCCAGATGGTGTTAGGAGGAACTCACGTGGTGTAGTAGTTCCCTCAGATGTTGTTATGAGGGACCTGGCGTGGTGTAGTAATTCCCTTGCTGATGGTGTTATGAGGGGCCTCACGTGGTGTAGTAAATCCCTCACAGATGGTGTTATGAGGGACCTCACGTGGTGTAGTAATTACCTCACAGATGGTGTTATGAGGGACCTCACGTGGTGTAGTAATTACCTCACAGATGGTGTTATGAGGGGCCTCTCGTGGTGTAATAACTCCCTCACAGATGGTGTTATGAGGGGCATCACATGGTGTAGTAATTCCCTCACAGATGGTGTTATGAGGGGCCTGACGTGGTGTAGTAATTCCCTCACAGATGGTGTTATGAGGGACCTCACGTGGTGTAGTAATTCCCTCACAGATGGTGTGATGAGGGACTTGATGTGGTGTAGTAATTCCCTCACAGATGGTGTTATGAGGGACATGTGGTGTAGTAATTCCCTCACAGATGGTGTTATGAGGGACCTCACGTGGTGTAGTAATTCCCTCACAGATGGTGTGATGAGGGACTTGACGTGGTGTGGTAATTCCCTTACATATGGTGTTATGAGGGACATGTGGTGTAGTAATTCCCTCACAGATGGTGTTATATGAGTGAGGTTTGGTCCCAGGCCTTCCTATAGTAGACGGATTCACACATCGGTGGTTGTTGTTGGGTCTCCTGGGGGCCGTTATCACTGGGTACCTGGGACCTCACTGTGTGAAGGTTAACTTGGGTACGACTGTTACTGTTGAGTTATTCTCACTGACTTAAGCACTGTTCACCACTGTTTAACACTGGTTCCGTTCCTTTCCTAAATGAAATTGTAACTTCTGGCGAGAACTTGTTGATATTCCGGTGGGGAGGAGGGTTCAGGGGAGGGGGTTGGTATGGGCCAACTTAACAGTTGACCTGGCTGCTCCGAGAGGAGCTCCAGGTACTTCTTGACCCTTCGGTGGTCAAGGTGGTCGTGGGTAGTGAGTCTTCATATAGTGTAATGGGGTGTGAGTCTATATAGTGTAATGGGTCGCGAGTCATCATATAGTGTAATGGGTTGTGAGTCATCATATAGTGTAATGGGTTGTGAGTCATCATATAGTGTAATGGGTTGTGAGTCTTTATATAGTGTAATGGGTTGTGACTCATATAGTGTAATGGTTTGTGAGTCTTTATATAGTGTAATGGGTTGTGAGTCTTTATATAGTGTAATGGGTTGTGACTCATCATATAGTGTAATGGTTTGTGAGTCTTTATATAGTGTAATGGGTTGTGAGTCTTTATACAGTGTAATGTGTTGTGAGTCATCATATAGTGTAATGGGTTGTGAGTCATCATATAGTGTAATGGTTTGTGAGTCTTTATATAGTGTAATGGGTTGAGTCTTTATATAGTGTAATGGGTTGTGAGGATTTATATAGTGTAATGGGTTGTGATTCTTCATATAGTGTAATGGGTTGAGTCTTTATATAGTGTAATGGGTTGTGATTTTTTATATAGTGTAATGGGTTGTGAGTCATCATATAGTGTAATGGGTTGTTATTCTTCATATAGTGTAATGGGTTAAGTCTTTATATAGTGTAATGGGTTGTGAGGATTTATATAGTGTAATGGGTCATGAGTCTTTATATAGTCTAATGGGTTGAGTTATCATATAGTGTAATGGGTTGTGAGTCATATAGTGTAATGGGTTGTGAGTCATCACATAGTGTAATGGGTCATGACTTCACATATAGTGTAATGGGTCGTGAGTCTTTATATAGTGTAATGGGTTGTGAGTCATTATATAGTGTAATGGGTTGTGAGAATTATATAGTGTAATGGGTTGTGAGTCCTTATATAGTGTAATGGGTTGTGAGTCTTTATATAGTGTATTGGGTTGTGAGTCTTCATATAGTGTAATGGGTTGTGAGTCTTTATATAGTGTAATGGATTGTGAGTCATCATATAGTGTAATGGGTTGTGAGTCTTTATATAGTGTAATGGGTTGTGACTCTTTATATAGTGTAATGGGTTGTGAGTCTTTATATAGTGTAATGGATTGTGAGTCATCATATAGTGTAATGGGTTGTGAGTCTTTATATAGTGTAATGGATTGTGAATCATCATATAGTGTATTGGGTTGTGAGTCTTTATATAGTGTAATGGGTTGTGAGTCTTCATATAGTGTAATGGGTTGTGAGTCCTTATATAGTGTAATGGGTTGTGAGTCTTTATATAGTGTAATGGGCTGTGAGTCTTTATATAGTGTAATGGATTGTGAGTCATCATATAGTGTAATGGGTTGCGTCATCAAATAGTGTAATGGGTTGTGAGTTCTTATATAGTGTAATGGGTTGTGAGACTTAATATAGTGTAATGGGTTGAGTCCTTATATAGTGTAATGGGTTGTGAGTCATCATATAGTGTAATGGGTTGTGAGTCTTTATATAGTGTAATGGGCTGTGAGTCTTTATATAGTGTAATGGATTGTGAGTCATATAGTGTAATGGGTTGCGTCATCATATAGTGTAATGGGTTGTGAGTTCTTATATAGTGTAATGGGTTGTGAGACTTAATATAGTGTAATGGGTTGAGTCCTTATATAGTGTAATGAGTTGTGAGTCATCATATAGTGTAATGGGTTGTGAGTCTTTATATAGTGTAATCAGTTGAGTCATCATATAGTGTAATGGGTTGTGAGTCTTTTTATAGTGTAATGGGTTGTGAGTCTTTAGATAGTGTAATGGGTTGTGAGTCTTTATATAGTGTAATGGATTGTGAGTCATCATATAGTGTAATGGGTCGGACTCATCATATAGTGTAATGGGTCGCACTCATCATATAGTGTAATGGGTCGTGACTCATCATATAGTGTAATGGGTTGTGAGTCATCATATAGTGTAATGGGTTGTGAGTCATATAGTGTAATGGGTTGAGTCATATAGTGTAATTGGTTGTGAGTCCTTATATAGTGTAATGGGTTGTGGGTCTTTATATAGTGTAATGGGTTAAGTCATCATATAGTGTAATGGGTCCTGAGTCAACATATAGTGTAATGGGTCGTGAGTCTTTATATTGTGTAATGGGTCATGAGTCATCATATAGTGTAATGGGTCGTGAGTCATCATATTGTGTAATGGGTTCTGTCATCATGTAGTGTAATGTTTTGTGAGTCATCATATAGTGTAATGGGTTGTGAGTCATTATATAGTGTAATGGATCTTGAGTC